GAAGCTAAAAAAAAAAAAAGTGGCTTGCTAAAACGAAACCAACTCGAGTCTTTTTCATAAAATTATGAAGTGGGATTAACAAATGTAAAACGAGAATACATTACACCACCCAATGTTTTTAATTCTCCAAACAACGATAATTATTGGAATAATTAAATGCAGGTCATCAACTGTTATTTCCTTTCTCACTAGTTGGAAATTAATTAATTAGAGGGCCATTCTTGTTAAATTCCAGTCACAAATTGCCAAATTAAACACCAAAATATATCCGAACAATAAACTGATAGTTAAAACAAACTGAAATACATACAGTGCACTGTTTTTGGATTTGCTTAATTGAGTCGTACGTGCCCATCCTTGCCAGACTTGCTAGAACTAGTTCATCCAGGTACCGTGTGGATAAAACCTTGTTCATGCACGGCCATTTTAGTCATGCAAACAATTAATTTCAGCACGGAGGATAAGGGGACATTCTTCTTTATTCTAGAAAAAATGGACAATAATTTGCGAAGAAATTATGAAGGGGGACATATCTGAGGAGGTGGTGAGTTGTAGAAGCTTATCCTTTTATGTCCAAAACCCTACTGCATCAAAAATTCTGGACCCCTCCTGCTACAAAAGAGACGAGACTTTATGGCATCTAGTGAAGTCGCCTCGGGGAGTGGATCGTGCTAATGTGTCAATTTATGAAAGGCTATATTGCAAATTTGTAAACTAATATAAAAATGATTGAAAGTAGAGAGGACCCAGACTTGGAATTCTTTAATTTAAACCGATCCAGGTGGGTAATTGGCTATTAAGATATAGCCAGCTTGTTAATTATTGATTATCTTAAATTTAATAGGTTCTAAAAACTTCTTGAAAGCCAAAAAAAACCTACGGTATATGGAAAAAATAAAATAAAATTACAGGCTCAATTTTTTTTTTAAAAAAACTAGTTTTTATAAGCTCAATCTTAAAAAAAAACTCAAAATCATGAATTCAGCCTAAAACAGTTCGATTCCCATTAGTTTATTTTTAAAAAATAATTTTTATGGGCTCAACACATAAGAAGAGTTTATCTTTCATAAATCCAGTATAGAAAATTAACTCATAAATATAATAAAGTAAGCATCTTGATTAGGTTTTTTATTTTTTTATATAAAAAAAATCAAGAATGCACTTCTACCATGATAGTACTCTTTTATATACACACATAGAGGATAAGGTCTTGATCGCTCTCTCCTTTTTTGTAACAAAGACAAGGTCTTGAATTTGAATTACACTTCTGCTAATGTTAATACCATTGTCGTAATCACAAAAACAAACAACCTCAAGAGGCAATGTCGTAGATGATTGAGAATCGTAAATGGTGCAATGCCATGTATGAAACTATGCTTTAAAAAGCTAGTCAAAAGGTGTCAGACAACAGAGAAAGCATAATGCACAGAGACATGGGTGAGATAAGGGACATGAAAGGAGACTTGACGGAACACGCGTTCGCCAGCCTAATCCAGTTGCTGACTTACAACTGGCTTGCTATTTATTGTCCTGATAACTGAATATTTTTTTCAACAAAAAGAATAGGGAGTAAGAGTTACTGCCAGCTACTTCTAATCTTGCACACCGTACTGGCACGACAAAATAAAAATGTTTTCTCTTCTATATCTTGAGTTAAGAGAGATCGAAAATCTCTTTTGCATCGACAAAATAAATAAATTAGAAAAAAAAATCAAAGTTGAAGGATAAATTAGTGTAGCCTAAGATTTATATTACGGCCATAGTGATCTGATAATACTATCCCTAGCTCAAAAATCTTTTAATAACATAATTTTTTTAATATGATATGATTTTTTTTATAAATTATATGAAGGTTAGATTAATTATTATTTTTTGTCATTTTATATTAATTTTATTTTAGATTTAAAAATCACTCCAGAATTTTTTTTAATTGACATGTTAACACCCCACTATATGAAGAATCCTCGTGCTATTTAGTTGGCATGTGTGGAGCTGTACAACAATTAAACATAATTTTTTAAAATAATATAAAAAAGATTTAGGTTTTTTTTACCTGATAAAATAGTACATTACAAGATTCATTGTAATTTAATATTAATAACTATTTTTTCCCCTTTCTTCTCTTTATTTTTAGCTAGAATTTTATGTTAATTCTTTAAAAATTTAAGAATAAACTTTTAATCTGTTGATTATTCAGATTAAATTTTATATTATTATTATGATTTGGTCCCTCAAAGTTCACTTCATTTGATTCGAGAAAAGCAGTGGGGAATGTGGATTGTGCTCGGGCAGATGGTACTCCTCTCTCAGATACCACACCAAAACCATGAAGATAGCTCATTACAGCACGCTGATTTCAGCAACCTTTTTAGGTGAAAAATTATGGGTATTTCACCATTCTAATACTAACTTTTTAGTTTAGGAAGAATAACATGATTTAGAAAAAGCTTTTAAGAAATAACACGATTTGACCACAATTTTATTTTTGGATACTAATTTGTACACAATCATTATTTCATTATTTAATTAAAATAAAAAATTATTTCTCAAGCAAAATAATTAATCTTAACAAAAATCAACACAAAACTTTATAAAAAATACAATATTTAAAAAATAAAATTTAAGATCTAATAGTCAAGAAAAAAAATGAGATAAGCTGGTATAGAAAAAATAAATCATCAGAAATACACCATGACTTCGTTTCTGTTAGTATATCGAAGAATGATATTTAACTTCGTTGCATAATTAGGGTTTTTTTTTTGTGCGAGATATCAGCGTGTTGGGTCATTTAAATATTGCAATGGAATAATAAGAACTTTCCTCTTCTCTTCCCTGCCCAAATCCCTTTACACGTGATAATATCTAACAAAGAGTGCGTGAATTTTTTTAAAAAATTAGTTTATTTAAAAAAAAAAACACCATGGAAAACATATTAGCAAAAAACGCACACTCTAATCAAAACAAAGTCGAGGCTACCTAGCAAAATGGCGTGAAAAAGAAAAAAAAAAAAACAATTGGGCTTCTACTAAGACTTTATTCTTCTACAGACTCCTGGGCTTACCGGTTTTATTGCCCGGTGTAATATGCTACAAGAAATAGCCCAAACCGGGACTGTAAAGCCAAGTCCAACAAAGCTTCCAAGACCCAGAAAAATCGGTTTCATGGCGGTCAGTTTTTACACCAGAATTAATGATGTTGCCGCGGCTCTGATCAAATAAATTATTAAATTGCCATTTTTTAAGGACAAATATATAACCCTTCTGTTAGTCTCTGTTTTCATTTCATCGTTAAACTTTGATGGTTTACCAAAACCCTCCTTTTATTTTTTGATATTTTAAATTGAAAATCTTCTCAAATATTAATAAAAACTCGTTTTATTTTCTAAATTAAATTCAAGTTTTTTAGGTAGTAAAGTGCCTTTTATTTTATTTTATGTAGTTTTAAAATTAAATAAATTGTGAATACTAGAAACTAAGTTGGAAAGCTTGTGAATTTAATTGGTAAGGAGTCTTAAGAGAATTATATGAATTTATCTAGATAATATTATCGTGATTATCAAAATGTTTTCAAAATTAATTCGTTGTAAGCGTGGTTAAGTGGTATTCGATCGTATAAATTGCACTGGGATATATGAAAAATTCAACTATAATTACCAAAAAAATCGAATTTTTTAGATGAGATTTGACTCTTTGATTTTGTGATAAAATTAAATGAAGACAGATGAAGAGACGGGCATGATTGATCAAATTAGAAGTACAAGTTTTAGATGTGACACGAAATCAACAGTTGAAGTCTTCAAGAGCAAGATTGCCATCAAACCCTGCAAAATCCCACTCCCTGGTATACATGGCACCTAGGAAAAGAAGTCGGAAAGTGTTCTCACGACAGGGACCTTCCGGTTAGAGCGCTTACAAGCTGTTGCCACGCGTTGTGGTTTCGGTGAAACCCGATGGGGAGAATCTTGGCAAACTGCCAGGAAAGATGGGCCTTTCTGTTTTAAAGCCAGCTGACTTGAATTGGACACGAGCAGCAGCTACTGCTAGCAGGTGCATATATAGGTGCTTTCATTCCACCAGCCACCAGGCCGGCGATGCAATGTGGAGGGTACTGGCAGCGGGTGCCTCATGCAACCGACCATGTGGCGCGAAAGGCAGTTTCACTATTTATTCTACTCAGCGCCTCTTATGTTAGGACAACAATGTCGTGTAGTTGTACGGGGAAAAAGGTTGCAAGTAAAATATTGGCGACTAGTTGAAAAAAAAAGAGAGAGAGAAGAAGCTCAGAGGACGTCTGCTAGGCAATATAGAAATAGAGTAGGGACATCCTTGGCCATATAAGCTGTCCTCTTGTCATTGAACACGTGAAAAGACTCTTCAATCGATTCCACTTGCAATCTTACATACATATACATTACATATGTATAGGCGCAAGCATCTCCATCGATCGGTAGCAAAACAGAATCCCATTTTGAGAGAGATTCAACAAACATTTTTATATATTTATATTTAGATATTTGAACGTCAGAAAACAAATAAAACCCACCTGCATTTCAGAGAATCTCTTGTCCAAATTCAATCACACACCATATATTTTTGTGTCACCTCTGTTCACGGGGACAGTACATTTCTTTTTTTTTTTTTGATTTACGTGGTCTCTCTCTCTATTCCCCCCCCCCT